ATAACAGAGGTATGAATGAAGTAGTGAAAGCATCGAGAAATTAGTTCCAGCTTTGCCTGGGATATTTAGAAAAGACTTCATAGATAAAGGTGATAATTTAAACTGAGTTTTTATGGGTGTGTAGGTGCTCTAAATATTAAGGTGAGAAAGTGTCTTATGCAGTTGGTGAGAAGTTGTTTGGTTGCTAGGTGGAATTTTTTGGGAGTAAGAGGTAAATTGGGACCATATTTTTGAAGGGGCTAGATATTAATCTGGTTTCTGACTCATTTTCTCCTTTGAATAAAAAATATTTCAACACCTAGCTCTGTTAAACCTTGACATTTTGATATATTAACTTCAAAAAATTTTGTATTTTTTAAAAGAAACATTACATATGCAGTTGAAACTGCCCTCAAATCATATATAAGAGCACATTCTCTCCAGAGATAACATTAATTTGTTACTCTAATCATACCTTCTTATATTAACTAGATGCTCATATACCTCTAAACCAGTGATTTTTCAACCTTTCATCTCATGACACACATAAACAATTACTAAAATTCTGCAGCACGCCAAAATACATATTTTTTGTTGATCTGACAAAAAAAGATATAATTTTGATTCATTCACAGCAGACACCTATTGTGTTGGCTGTTGTCATTTTTATATTTGACAATCTAAGGAAAAAAAAGGTCAGTGTCCCTGCCTAAATAGGTTTTGAATGTTTTAAAATTCTTGTAGCACACCAGTTGAAAATTACTGCCCTAAACAATACAAACATTGTATTGCTCTATATGTTTTAAAAGTTCATATAATGGTTTATGATGTCATTTCACAATTGTTTTTTGCTCAGAATTGGGTTTTTGTGATTTTGCTGTATGGACCAACTGGGTTAACAGAAATATAATGCAAGCCACATGTGTTATTTTAAGATTTCTAGAAGCTACATATAAAGGTAAATAAAAACAGGTGAAGTTAATAATATACTTCATAACCCAGTACATCTATATGAAAATATTTCAAGTTATAATGAGTATGCAAGATTATTGAGACAGTTTACATTCCTTTTTAAAACTAAGTGTGAAATCTGGCATTATTTTATACTTGCAGCACATCTCAGAAATAGCCACATTTTAAGTGTTCACTAGCCAGCTACACGTGATTAGTGGATTTTACTATGTTGGACCATGAGTGAATTGTGATTCAAACAGAACTTAACCCTTTTGGTGCTTGAAGGTAGTGCCTGCTACCACCAGGGGTCAGCTATGTGTCATGCTGACACAAGAGGAAGTATTTTGTGTGTTAGAATTTGCTATTCAGCAGCTGCAATGCAAAAAATCATTCTGTGCCCAATAAAGGAACTCTCTCGCAAGAACATTTACTGCTGGTACAATAGTTGAAGCACAAAGGGTGATGCATATGTGATCCACAGCCTGTTCAGACACGCAAGGCTCTGTTCTGTCCTTACAAATGCACCCTTCTCCATTCTTGCTTGTCTGGAATACACTGTTATCCCACTACTAGAGGCCCAGTGCACAAATTCGTGCATGGGTGGGGTCTGGCCGGCCCATCCCAATGGGGGGGGGCGGGGGAGACGGTCATAGGCGGCGCCAGCTGGGGGAGGGGCCGTGGGCGGTTGGCTGGCTGGCCCCGCCCCCTGGTTGAACCCCTGGTCAAACTCCTGGCTGAGGGGACAGTTTGCATATTTGCTTTTTATTATATAGGATTATCCAGGGGTGTTACATTTATACTAAATATACTGTTTCAAGTCAGCTCACCATAAAGGTCTATACTTAGATTTATATTTCTCTTATTCTCCACAGAAATACCTCCATAGAAATGTCCTAGACTTCATAAGGATCCATAGCAGAAACTGCTTTTTAGAATGCCTTAGTTTCATATGCATTATAATTGGAAGGATGTTTCATTATGCTGTTAATAGCCCTTTTATAAGCACCCAATGAAAAACAATCTAGCTAAGAACAAAGAACGAGGGGATATTCTCTCCATCTCCCCCATTCATTGCTTGATTCTTAATCATTTTTCAATGATTTGTTTTAATGTATATCCTTTTTATATGCCTACAGAAATAAACCCTTTTTTGATATAATACAGGTAATTGGTAGATCTATAATCTCTATTAAGGCTTAAGATAGGGCCTTGCTAGATTCTGCATTCCATGGCTTTGACAGCCTTTTAATAGCAGTTTTATACAGCAACATTCTGCCTCAAGGTGGGGGTAGAGAGTTCTATGGCCCTGATTAGTTAGGGCAAATTTCACAATAGCAGCCATAGTTAACTTTCCTTCAGTTAAAACAATTGTTGGTATCATTATTAACAAAAACTTTCCTTAAGGTTAGCAGGGTTTCTAATTTCTGCATTTTTTTCCCTAAGATATTTAAATTGATTTTTAGAGAGAGAGGAAGGGAGAGGGAAAGAGAAACACTGATGTAAGAACGGAACTTTGATTAGCTGCCTCCTGTACACTACACTCCCTTCTGGGGATGAACCTGCAACCTGGACATGTGCCCTGACCAGGATCAAACGGGTAACCTTTTGGTGCTTGGAATGACACCCAACCACTGAGCCACATGCTATTTTTAATTAACACAATAAAAAGTACTTTTCTTGGTGCTATGAAATTTAGCACTTGTAGATTTGGTTAACTACCACTACCAACAGGGTACAAAACAGTTCCATTATTACCCTTCAAAAAAATTCTCATGTTGCCCAGCTAGTGTAGCTCAGTGGTTGAAGGTCGACCCATGAACCAAGATGTCACTGGTTTAATTCCCAGTCGGGGCACATGCCCAAATTGTGGGCTCGATTCTCATTGAGGAGCATGCAGGAGACAGCTGATCAATGATGTTTCATGATGTTTTTCTCATCGATGTTTATCTTTCTCCCTTCCTCTCTCTCTCAAAAAAAAAATCAATTAAGAAAACCCCTCATGTTTCCCTTTATAGTGACACACTCTCCCCACCTTTAACCTGTGGTAACTGCTTATCAGTCACATAGTTTGTCTTCTTGAGAATATCATATTAAATGGAGCCATACAATGTATTTGTCACCTTTTGAAATTGGCTTTTTCACCCAGAATGACATTGAGACTCATCTGTGTTCTGCATGGTGATGTTTTATGCAGATCATTAGCCATTCAGAAATTATTAGTGATTATTTTTATAAAGATTTAAGTACTCAGTTTACTTCCAAATCCTTTTACTTTCATTACTTTGGTTTTTAAAAAAATTCTTATCTGAAAACAGCCACCCGGGGTGTTTTGATTGGGCAGATGGGAACTAAAAAGAAAGTAAGTGTGGAGAGTAAGGGTTTGTGTGGGTGGTAGGGAGTGGAAAATGGGAGGAGAGGCCAGGGTGGGGTTCCATGGTGGAAGGTCCTTTATATAAAGCTTAGCACAGAGTTCTACATCTAGGAGCTTTTCACATTCTAATAAAATTTTGTGTATTTTTGTTAGGTAACCAATATAAGTAGGATTGAGGAGATGCCCTCATTAAAAATTTAAGTGGTGCCTGGCCAGTGTTGCTCAGTGGTTCAGTGTTGACCCATGAACCAGGAGATCATAGGTCCATTGACAGTCAGGGCATATATCCAAGTTAGAGGCTCCATCCCCAGTAGGGGGCTTGCAGGAGGCAGCCCGTTAGTGTTTCTCATTGATGTTTCTATCTCTCCCCCTCCCTCTCTCTGAAATCAATTTTTAAAAAGCATAAAACAAAAACAAATTTAAGTGTTCACGCACATGTATAATCTAGAATGAGAAGAAAGCATTCTATTTTATTTTAGTGAAAACTGTTACGTAACACCTTGGAATTAGTTTGTCTATATCAAGGATTAAAGGATGTCTTACTAATCATAATAAGCTTATTTGTCAAAAGTCATTTTTAACAAATTTTGGTTTATGCCATATCGTATATATAAAATTCAACAGTGAAACAAATTAAACTTTGTTAAGGTTTTTATACAAATACATGTTCCATGTGTAAATATTTAAGACTGAATGCCCCTGGGCAAATTCCCACGCTATTGTATTTGTAGACTGAATTTTCAAAAGTTCTTTAGTTCTGTTTGTTTTTATTTCAAAGTGGGAAATGCAAAGGTTATCATATGGGGCTACTATTAGCCCTGCTACTGTTTGGACCATGGGGCTAGATTTGGAAATTGAATTTGATTTACTAGTATATACTAAGTTTGGGGAATACAGACAAAAGATAAGTTCACTTTTAACTGCCATGATAGCTGATTATACACATTTTTCTTTGGTTTTCAGTAAGAATACCATTTTAGTTTCCTTAAGGTTACATTTACTTGCCAGGAGTCCTGAGAAAGGTTCTTGCTTTACTAAGGCAAATTTTTAGCAGTTTGAAAGTGGAATGGTGGATTTTATAACAAAGGATATTTGTGGTAGAGTGATGCAAATAAGTGGAGAGCAGTGTGGTTGTGTTCTTCTGGTTTGGTGTGATATTATTTGCTATTATATATGCTCAATTAGAAGGTAGCTCCCCATTTTTCCCATAAAACTATCCCCCCCCCCCCACCTTCAAGGTTCCATTCCTGGCCTGGGATGCGTGTGGGAGGCAGCCAATCAATGTGTCTCAAAAGGATGTTTCTCATTCTCCCTCTCTTCCACTCTCTAAAAATTAATGGAAAAAATATCCTTGGTTGAGAGTGGGCAAAAAAACACATTAATAATAAAAAATAAAAAAGATATACCTGACATATTAAAAGTTATACTTAATCTATTTAATTACATAAACCATTGTATTACAGAATTTAGAAATGAAATTATGTTTTGTTTACTGTCTCATGATAAAATTATTTTGTTCACCTCTTTGTATGTATTGGGATCCCTTTGGGATAATTTTAATAGTTGTTCAGGTGACAGCTACTAGGGATATGGGGGTCTTCATATCAAAGATTTTAGTTGTTAATATGGATCTTTGTCTTTTTTTTCTTTTTCTTTTCTTTAAGGGGTTGGACATAATTGCCTTATTTCATTTCAGGGATCCTTCTAAAGTAAATATTCTGGTACCTGGTGCTGGACTAGGAAGACTGGCCTGGGAAATAGCTATGCTAGGTTATGCTTGTCAAGGAAATGAATGGAGTTTTTTTATGCTCTTTTCTTCCAACTTTGTACTCAACAGGTATTTAATTTACTTTTTGTTAGAAATAGTAATATCTCAGAATCAGATTGACTTACCTATTTTTGAACAATTCTGAAATTGAAGATAAGTACATAGTGTTTAATTATGATATATACCATAAATATTTCTTATATTAAATTGGTTATACAATTGTCACTTTAATCAGTTGTCTAGTTAACAGACGTTTGATCAAGATGGGTTAGTGACTTTAGAAAGTGACTTGGCATTCCATGAAAATGAAATTATTTCTGTGTGAATTTCAGGACTAAGTATGATCCAGGAAGGGGTATTTTCTCATTGTTCCTTAAACTTCTTCACCCTTTTGTTTCTTCAGTATAGTAAGAGTGCAGTATAGTGATCATATCTTTTGTCCTTAAGTTTCTTATTAAATGGCCAAGTAAGCTCACGTGACTGAGATGGAAAAATCTTTCAGAACTTCTGTGGCCTCTTAGTAAGCAGTGGAAAAAAGTTGTTATTTTTAAAGCCAGAAAAGGTGTGTTAGAGAAAAAAATAAATAGCTGCCTGTTTAAATAATATGTTATTTTGGTGGCAGTATGAGTTGGGGGATAATAAGAAGGTAAAAGGAAGAAGGTTGTACAAAATAATTTAAATAGGTATCAAACAAAACCCATAACATTGGACTGGTTTTTACTTGATTTTGAAGTTTGGAAATATATTTGTAAAACTTGGAATGAACAACACATTCATATCTCAGAATTTAATTTTTTTCTGTCTTCATTCATGATTGGTTACTCATCTGCATGTGTATGTGCATTTCCAGATAATTGGATGGGGTATAGTAGTAATACTTTTAAAGTAGTAATTAAATAAGTAAACTTTTAATCAAACAATATACTTTAGTGTTTAAAGTAGATTTTCTTGGTAAAATATTTAGTTTACACTGAATTGTATGTTCATATTTTGCAGATGTTCTGAAATTAATAAATATAAGCTTTATCCCTGGATCCATCAGTTTAGCAATAACCGGAGGTCAGCTGATCAGATTCGACCCATCTTTTTCCCTGATGTTGACCCCCACAGTCTTCCTCCTGGTTCTAATTTTTCTATGACAGCAGGAGATTTTCAGGAGATATACTCAGAATGCAGTAAGTTTAAAGCAAGCATTTTAAAGGTCTATCCATTATTCTAAATTTAATGATCTAATTTTATACTAAGCTAAAGTTCTGGTCATCCATTTTGATGGCAGAATATAAAGTATACTTCATTGACAATTTAAAATAATTTGAAGGTCATGCATGTATAAGGCAATGATGGGAAATATAAAAAAGTATAAGATCCCACAATTAAGAAATTCATAATCTATTGGGTCTATTAATAGAAGCCAACATGTAAACAAAGTTCAAATGAGTAATGGAAGTAGGTTAGTGTGAGAAGGGAGTTCTCTGTGGAGAGGCTGTGACTTGAAGGATAAGGAGGAATGGCATTCAGGAGGTAGAAGTACATAGATACGAATGAATAAGGTAATTGAGGATGGTAAACAGCCTGCTGGGAGGGAAAGGGAGGTCTATTTGGAGATTAATGGAAATATGGGTAGAGAAGAAGGTTGGTTCCAGACTGTGCAGGACCTTTACAATCAGGCTATGAAGTTTGAAAGAAATTTGTGCTAGGCATTAGAGAAAGGGATAGGTAAGGAGGGGAGAGAGGAGGGGAGTTGACAGTGAAAGAAAGAAGAATGAAATGCTGAGGGGTCAGCAAGTCATTCATGTAACAAATATCTGTTGAACTTGCTAAGTGGCAGGTGTGTTCTAGGCACTGGAAAGAGAGCAGTGAGCAAAACAAAGTCCCTGTACATGGGAACTTATATATTCTTAAAGGGAGAGAGAGGCAATAACAAATTAATATTATGAGGAAGGAAACTATGGCAGGAAAGAGGATGATGAGGGTCTGGGGAGGGCCTGCTGTTTTATATAGTTGTCAGGGAAGGTCTTTCTAAGAGCAGAACTTAAAAAGTAAGTGTATGCATACAGGCTTTCTGAAACCTTTCAGAATTGGTAATTAACACTGGTTGAAAGAAATCAATTTAGAATTCAAATGACTATTATTTTGTCTTCAATGATTTTAAATGAAAGCAGTTAAATAAATTATAGACAAAACATATCATTTGGTAAAGATATATAGCAGTGGTTCTCAACCTTGGCTGCACATTAGAATCACCTGGGAATCTTTTTAAAATCCTGATTTCTGGGCCTCATCTTCCGGAAATTCTGTTTCTTTGTTACTAATGTTGTGGCCTCACAACATTAGTAATTAATTGGAAGAGTTTAGCTTCTATATCCCTGCAGTTAAATGAAATATTAATATTCTGTAAGAGGTACCTGGTACATTTATGGAATTAATTAAAAGTTAAAATAACAAAAAAATTTAAAAATAACATTACAACTGTAGTAATTTGATTTTCCTTGAATAGATGCCTGGGACTGTATTGCTACCTGTTTCTTCATAGACACAGCTCACAATGTAATTGATTATATTGACACAATATGGAAAATACTCAAGCCAGGTGGAATTTGGATAAATCTAGGTAAGTTCCTCAGTATTTATTAGGATCTTATGCATTAATCTAATAGCTATAACTATCCTATATTTGGTAACTTCATGGTACCAAATAGTCACAAAAGTTATAATTATGCTGTATTCAATTTAAAACCTCTGCATTTCCCTTTAGACTGCATCCTACTTGATGGTGCAGTTCCTCCAGTCCTAGATAATTCCTCATAAGTAGTTGGAGCCCTCAAGTTGTATATTTACACTAGGTCAGTCTCAGCATTCATAATTTCAGAGCACTGATTATTAACTTGATGGTAATCATTACCTCATCTTTCCCATCTTCCACTTTATGGAGACAACAGTCCTGTTTTTTCTATTATGAAACACTAGTGGCCCAGTACACGGAAATTCATGCACGGGGGGAGGGGGATCTCTCAGCCCAGCCTGCACCCTCTCCAATCAGGGACCCTTTGGGAGATGTCCGACCGCCGGTTTAGGCCCGATCCCACTGCCTCTGCCTCGGCCCCCACCATCATGGCTTTGTCCAGAAGGAAGTCGGACATCCTGAAGATGGCCGGTTGACCTGGTCTAATTAGCATATTACCCTTTTATTAGTATAGATTTGAGGGAAAGCATTTGCCTCTCCTATGGAAACGTCCTCCCAGTGCATATACGTACTGGGAAAAGAGTAAGCATAACTTTTATGAATATCATGAGGTTAAAAAAGAATAGAAATATAATTTCACATATGCAGAAAACTTACTGCCTTCTGATGGAAAGTACTGAAAATCAAATGATGAGTATGGCCCTGCTGGCATGGCTCAGTGGTTGATTCTCTCATTATTGATGATTCTCTTTCATCGTTGATGTTTCTATCTCTCTATCCTTCTCCCTTAAAAATATACATTTTTTAAAAAGTAATAAGTATGACGTGATCCCTTCCATCCAGATTATAAGGAAAACTGCCAGTGTTATCCTCTTTTTTAATCCTTTTTCTTTAAAATAAAGGGAGAATAATGGTATTATCAAGGTAAATATAATTTTCTTTTTGTGTGTTAAGAGGTTAATATACTACTTAAAAGTCATATATACATTGTTTGAGTCCTTAGCCTTCAGATATATATATATATATATATATATATATATATATATATATATATATACACACACATATATTATTGATTTCAGAGAGGGGGAGGGAAAGATAGAAACGTCAGTGATGAGAGAGAATCATTGACCAGTTGCCTCCTGCACATCTCCTACTGAGAGCAAATAGCTGTACAACATATATATATATATATATATATATAGAGAGAGAGAGAGAGAGAGAGAGAGAGAGAGAGAGCACCTAATATGCAAAGTGTCCCCTCAGGAGTTCGATCACTCGCTATAACATGTGCTGACCACCAGGGGGCGGCGCGTACCCAAGGAAGGCCCCGGCCAGCAGCTGGGGAAAGGAGGCCCCAAGGGAGGCCCTGGCCAGCAGCCGCTAGGGACCCTACCTGAGCATGAATTTCATGCACTGGGCTTCTAGTGTAATCATAAAAATGAAACAAGTATCTTAAACCTTGGGTCTTCTTTAAAAGAAAACTCTTTCCCAAGGAATAATTGAAAGAAGACATTACCTACTGGGTATTTGTTCACTGTGGATTAGGCATTATGTTAGACACTTTAAATACCTTGTTTAATCTCAAAACAGTCCTATGTTGAAATGGCATTATTGCTATTTTATAGTAGAAAAAACTGCATCTTGGTTAAGTTAGGGGTTAAGTAGAAGAAAGGTACTGGAGAGTCATTCTTACAGCCTAGATCCAACTCCTGGAATGTGTAAACAGCTATCTCTGTAGGCTTTTGCTGGGTAAGTTTATACTTAGCATTAATCTGTGTATTTATGTGATTAAAATTTTTGATCCCAGTTACTGAGTTATAGTAAGGTTTTGTGTATTTCCAAAGCATTCAACTTAACTTTCATAAGAACAACTTTTCTTTTTGAACATTTATTTTATTGGTTCATTAATATTTTGTTTATAATAACAATAAATTATAACTGCCTGGAATAAATAAAATTGGCCCTTAGTTAAGAGTAGATGTGCTGGGAAGGCCTGTGACCTGTTGTGAGCATCAGAGATAATGGGGCATGATGGTTTTTAATGGGAGATCAGTTAGAAGAGCTTCCACTCTTTCTTACCAGAGAGTTTCTCAAAGGATTTTGAGAACTGGGATGGAGAAACACTGTCCTTAAATACAGTTATTTGGAAGGTTAATATTTTGCAAATAAAATTCTTATCTCAGAGTCAGTTTTTCCCTAAATATCAGTATGCTCCAGGTATCTATCTATTGTTTTTCACCTTTTATGCCAGGTATCTATCTATTGTTTTTCACCTTTTATGCCATATATCACTCCTTACTTCGAATCAGGGATTACTCCTACCTAATCCCATTGCCTCTCTTATTCTTTGAATTCCCAGTCTGAATCTAGTCCAAATCTCTCTCTTATGCTCCAAACCACTGTGTCCAAATTGGATGCACCACAAATACTTCTAAATCTGTGTGTGTCAAGAAAATGATGCCCATGCTTCCCCCATGCCTTTTCTGTCCCATCATCTGAGATTCCCACAATCAGAAAACCAGAACTCCTTTACCCCTTTTCACACTTATCTGTACCCGGCTAGTCTACAAATTGTATCTTGTAAAGCTCCTCAATAGCTCTTGAATCTCTTCCTGTCCCAGGGTTTCTCAGTTGCGGCACTAGTGACATTTCCCGGGTAGACTATTCTTCATTGGGGGTGGGGAGGGTTCTGAACACTGTAGGATGGTTAGCAGCATCTCTGGCTTCTACCTACTAGATTCCAGCAGTGCTTTCCCAGTTTTGAAATCCAAAAATGCCATTTGAGAACCATTGCTCTAACCTCATAGTAGCACCTGAGTCTAGGCCCTCATCATTGCTTGCCTGGATTATTGCAGTCATTTCCTTCAGGGCATTCCTCCCTCTGCACCCCTTTCAGTTCTCCATATTACCAGCAGAGTGATCTTTACAATGTGTAAACCCATCTTTACAATATGTAAACCCATTTCTGTTGGACTCCCAGCATAAAAGCCTAGCTTTCTTGGTAACCTAAACTCTTCAGGATGTGTTCAGTGCCCTTTGTGATCTTTCTTCTGTCTTGTGTCTTGGCTTCTTTTTTTTTTTTTTTTTTAATTAAGGTATAAATTGGCATACAACATTATATTAGTTTCAGGTGTACAACCATGGTCAGTATTTGTATATATTTTGAAATGAGTTTAGTAAACATCCATTACCATACATAGCTATAACTTTTTTTCTTGTGATGAGGACTTTTAACTTAGCAACTTT